TATACTCTGAAATAATGAATAAATGTATAATGTAATAAATATGAGGCAATTCAAATTTTCAGCTCCATTGTAATCTTGCGAAGCCACTGTCCAATGTGCAGTGTCGCTGACCAAAGCCGTTATAATTATGCAGTGCATGTGACTATATTTGAAGTACTTAACCCCACAGGAGTTATTCTTTCTGATGCTCATGTTGCCCCAGGCTTATTTAGTGGGACCTTAATTATGCTAGAGTTTGTGTTCTTTTGATGAAACTGTTTTGGGCTCATCTTGTACATCTCCTGTCCTGTGCCTTGAACTGGCTATTTATCCAAAAAGCCAGTTCTAAATCTAGAATTTAGTAGCAATATGGCAACTAAGAGGGCTCATTACTCCTGGGTAGCCATTTTTTCTATATCTTTTCAGTGGACAGACTAGAAGTATATGTATATGCCTGTACGTAGGTAATTTATTTCCTGTAAATAAGTAGTAGAGTATTGCGTGATCAGATTCAGGGTTTGGTTTTGTTAGTGCAAAACTCCTCACAGGTGTTTATTTTTATCAGTAACTACATACAGTTCCTGTATTTCCTATATACAGCTGATTCTAATTAGTCACAGTGGACACGTTCTATAAAGTTACGGAGTACACTGAATTAGAGAATACTGAAACATTACTCCTAGGAGAAATGCAGAATTAGATTCCTGTAAGCCTCTGATTATAATATTTTGTCAATCAATCATTATATAACCTGTTGTATGTGCGTTTCTGTATCAAGATACTTTACTTAATATATATTGTTGATTCATTAACATTGAATTTATAGGTAACACTGTGACTCAGGCCTGAGTGAAACACAGACTGCAGAAAGGACACTGGCTTAAAGTATAAGTGTTTGCTGGGCACAGTAGCTCACACCTGTAGTCCCAGCACTTTGCGAGGCCAAGGCAGGTGGATCACTTGAGGCCAGGAGTTTCAGACCAAAGATGGCGAAAGCCTGTATCTATTAAACATTAAAAAATTAGCCAGCAAAGGTGGCATGCACCTGTAGTTCCAGCTACTTGAGAGGCTAAGGTTGGAGAATCACTTGAGCCCAGGAGGCAGAGACTGCAGTGAGCAGTGATCACACCACTGTACTCCAACCTGGGTGACAGAAAGAAACCCTGTCTCAATCAATCAATCAATCAATATGAGAGCTGGAACAAAAAAGCAAAGTGTGCTTTATTCGACCTCAAACTGGGAACCGATGCATCTGGTGATGCAATATTTTTTCTGAATATGTCCATGGATGACCACAAAAGTGTCATGAGTAGAGATTTTTTTCAAATTACAAATAAATTTTAGCAAGTAAGAGAATTCACAAAGACAAATCACAAAGAGAATCAACTGTGTATGTATGTAAATTTATGTACATATATAGTGATAGTTATAGTGATATAGCTAGTTACATATCTTTAAGATAAAAAGCATCAGAAGTTATATTTTAAATTCAGGACTATGGAGTTTTTACTAAATCTTCTGAGTCTTATATCTGCATCTCCTTTCTCCCATGCTGAAAATCTTGGTTCTTAATGACACTAACATAATTCCAAAGCAGGATCAATGACAAACAAACCGATTTGAAACCACAAGATCTGAATTATTAACTTTTCCTTTTGCCTCAGGCTCCAATATGACACAGCATGGTACTGACACTGCTCCTGCCTTTATCTAAAATTTTTTTTTTTTTTTGGCATTTTTATTTTTTTATTATTACTTTTTGAGACGGAGTTTCGCTCTTGTTATCCAGGCTGGAGTGCAGTGGCACAATCTCGGCTCACCGCAACCTCCGCCTCCTGGGTTCAGGCAATTCTCCTGCCTCAGCCTCCTGAGTAGCTGGGATTACAGGCATGCACCACCATGCCCAGCTAATTTTTTGTATTTTTAGTAGAGACGGGTTTCATCATGTTGACCATGATGGTCTTGATCTGCCGACCTTGTGATCCACCCGCCTCGGCCTCCCAAAGTGCTGGGATTACAGGCGTGAGCCATAGCGCCCGGCCCCAATCATTGCTTCATATATAGTTAGTTTGTAGGCAGCAAGGTAATGGGCCCACTCTACCTTGGCTGGAAACATACCATTTGAGTTAGTTCTTATAAAAAATAAAGGCTGACTCGGGGTTAAAACAAGAGCACAGATGACAAAGCAAAGAGCCACAGAATCTTCTCATGAAGTTGGACAGATGACCTAATCAAGAAACGCAATATATGCTGGACTTAATTTTAAAATTTCTAGTGAACAGTGACTGCTATATTCTTCCTATTTTCTTCTTTTTCCATGAATGTGCCTACTGCAGTTCATGTCTATGTCTCTTACTACTGTGTTTGGTGTTTGTGTGGAGGGAGTGCAGAACTTATGTCTCTTAAGCTCACAAATCTTCAGATTGAGTGGAAGCACACCTGACTAGTTTCATCTCCATCTGGATCTGATTCATAAGAGACCCTAAACCTCAAGCCTAAGCCTAATGACTGACTCGGATGAAAGCTTCTTTAGAGGATTTGAATATATTTTCATGTGGGAGAAATATAAATATGTGGCCAGAGGGTAAACTGGTGTTCACACTCCTTCTATAGAGGTAGAATTATGATCCCACTTCTTGAATACACGTGGGGTCTGTGACAACTCTGACACACAGAAAAAATGACGCTGTGCCACTATCTGGGCCTGGGCCCCAAGATGGCACTTTCCACCTCTTATGTCTTGGAACTGTCCTTTGGAATGGTTGTTCTGGGAGAAGCCAGAAGCCATATAGCAAGTCCAACTACCATGAAATTGCTATATATGGAGAAAGTCATACTAGCCAGTCCCCAGCCGCTCCAGCCGTTCTAGGCCAGGTGCCAGACAGTCAAGTGAAGGAACCATGTGGAATATTCTAGACCAGCATATACCATATGGAGAACAGAGGCCCTAAACATATAGCTGCATTCATCTCCAGATGCTTGAACCACTCTAGCCGAGGCCCCAGACATCATGAAGCAGAGGCAAATCATCCAGCCGAGCCCTTACCAAATGTCTTACCTATAGAACACTAGATATAATAAAATGGCTATTACAACAAGCCACGAAAATAGGGAGTTTTTATTCACTAATGTATCCCTTACATACAGAACAGTGACTGGCATATTAAAGACACTGAAATATTTGTTTTGAGCCAACTTAAAAATGGTATTTCTAGATCACCAAGAAAGCGAGTGCAGTGTATACGAAATACAGTTTGAAAGTAGGTATTTCAACATTTAGAGGTTGAGCAGATGAAGAGGAACCAGCAAAGCAGACGGAGAGACTGTAAGAACAATGTTCTAGAATCAGAGTAAAGACAGTGTTTCATAAAGGGGAAGTGAGCAAGTGTGTCACTGATACACTGATAGATAAAAATGAGCACTGAGCATTAATTCTGGATCTGCTAGTGTGGAAAGTCACCAATGACCTTGACCCGAAGAGTTCAGTAGAAGGATGAGGATGAAGCCAAACTTCATTCTCACTGCACTGAGAATAGAATGAGAACGGAGGAGAGAAAACAGACTTTTTAAAAAGTGAGTTTTCCGTCAACTGCAGGAAGGGCTAGAAGGAAGACGCAATGCCAAGATTTGCTGTTTACACCTTATAAAAAGGTTATTGTATGCTAATAGAAATAATCCCATAAAGAAGAGAAAAAAATAATAACACAGAGAGAAGAGGCACTTTAGTAGTTGAGAAGGGATAAAATCCAGTGCATAGATGAGTGGACTGGCCCTAGATAAGAACAACAAAAAAATTTATCTGGAGGTATGAAGAGAAAAAGTAGAGTTCATAGGTATAAATGCAGGCATACTGACAAATGTGCTACAGATTTCCTTCTATTTGCTTCTATTTTCTCAGTAGAAAACGAAGTACAGTCATAATCTGAGAATGAAGATGGGAGACCTGAAATAGTCCTTCAGCACTGCACTCAAATATACTTGGCACATATCTCACTTGAGAACTTACCACATTGTGCTGTCATTATTTACGTATACATCTCTTTTTCCACTAAATTATAAAATAATGTAAGGTAGAGGAAGTACTTTTTATTTTTGCTTTACCAGCACATAACACAGTGCTCTAACAAACGTTTGTTAACTCATTGATTGAATAAATTAGTGTTATTGATTTCTTTAAGATTGGGAATAAAGCCAAGAGTGTTAAAACAGCAATCAATAAATACTGTCAAACATCTACTTGATATATATGCCCAAGTGTAGGCTGCAAATATTCAAAAACTGAAAACATTAAACTTCAACTTGTGAAATTAACAACTACAGACGGAACACAAACATTTTGCTTTTTAACATACTAAGGAAGTAATTACATGCTAATATAAAAAATGTGCAGAGTTATAAGTTACACTGGAGTATATTTCACACTGAATCTAGGTATCCAACATTTTATACAAAACATCAAAGTTCAGCTTCCAAAAAGCCAGTATCTGAAAAAAAGTTACTATAACTATAATTTCCATTGAAAAAAAGTAGAAGCACTCACAATATAAAAACTGTTTACTTACAAAATATGACTGTGGTGTGAGTTGAGAACAAATAAAAATTACATTCCATGGATCAAGTAAGGGAAAACAGAATGTCCCACACTCTCATCCAGGCATGGTGGCTCACACGTGCAATCCCAGCATTTTGGGAAGCTGAAATAGGAGGACAGCTTGAGATAGGAGTCAAGGCTACAGTGAGCTACAACTGGGTCGCTGCACTCCAGCCTGGGTGAAAGGGCCAGACTCTGTCTTCATAAATAAAAATAAAACAAAAAGGAAAATAAATAAAAACTCTCATTACTTAAGATTTTGGGACAATCAGTACAACTCAAAACCAACGATTAGGCTACAATTTGTTAACTTACACGCAAACCCCAAACCACCCTAAAATGGGTTATTTGGAACAGTTACTTTCAGAAACACCAAGATTCAAAGATACTGTTTAAAAATCCAGAAATAAAAACAAACTTGAATCATATATATTTTCAGTATCATTTAATTCTTTAATACTTTGGGGACAGTTCCTTTTCCTTTAACAAAAAGAACAGAAGTGATACTATATACTGCTATTAGAAAATGAAGAGCTTTTCCATGAAATCCTGACATTAAATCATTACTGAATACACGAAGTCTTATTTTTTAAAATGCACAAGAAGCCAGAAAATAGACTTAACAACCCAACAAGGATTTCCTATGCTTTCTAAATATCCCTTCAGAAAAGCCCTTCTCTAAATTAACTGAACAATTTGGAATATCCACAGGAGCAGGTGAAGAAGAACAACGCAATCTCCTGATGTACAGCTGTCACAGACTCAGAGCAGTCTGCTGCTGTGACTCCTCTGCCTGTGACCTGAGGGTCGGTTGCCTCATTAGATGCAGGGGAAATAAAACTGACGGGATCTGAAGAGAGATTTTTAAAACGGAAGGTACACTCAGCAGTTTTTACTTTTGGTGAAGTCATACGGTTTCCACCACTGAGCAAACTGCAGTGCCTTTCTCCTCTGATCCTCAAAGCCTTCTCGGATGCCTTTCCTCCAAAGTCGTGGCTCTAAATCCAACATCCCACCAATGATTTCCTTTGAAGGAATGAGCAAAGCAAAAACACAAGCATGTGTAAATAATAATGAAACCAGAAATCAAACTATTTGTTTATTCTGCTATAAAATATAACAAGTAGTTCTCCATGACAATGTTTAATAGTAAATACTAGTTGAAATTTTAAAATATTGTTTTCAATTAATTCTACCTCTGCGAACCCTGTGATTCTAGGAGTTCAAGTTAGCTGTATCTCCTATCAAGCAACTTATCCATTTTGTTGCTGCTTATTAGCTCATCTACTAGATGGTAACAAAGGGGAAGCAGAAAAGTAAAATTTAATTAATTTGGTCTCTATGAGAGGCTCTGGTAAACAATTTTGCAAAACAGTCAATCAACTTGTGGCAATTATTCACTTTATTGCTCAACTGCAGTTAAACCCAGGCTAATGTTCTCTCTCTCTACCAAGCATATTTCTAAATTAGTTTCTTCCACTATTAGTAGGAAATCTTTTTTCAGGAAATAAAATTCTATTTTAATACTAGCGTAAGTAAACCTATTAATAGAATTAAAAATTATGTATTACTTTCATTTAAAAAATCACATCCTCAAGTCCTAAAACAAATGGCTTTTTGGTTATCTGCTTATCATTCTTGATTTCCTTCAAGAGCCTCTTCCTGTGCTGTTAGCTATAGAAAGAAATCAAATTTAGGCATGTGAGTATCCATGTACAGAAAGACATGGGGGAGACTCCTAAAACTTAGATGCTTAAAGAGAGGGCAGTATGGCAACAAAGCAAACGAAACAACACAGACTAAGGGTCAAATTCCGCATAGTCAGTCTAGCTCCACTGGACTGTGTGGCGAGATCCTACACAAACCACATCATCTCGCAGATGCAGTTTCTTCATCTTACTTGGGGACCTACTATGCACAAGCAAATAAAACTGACGGGATCTGAAGAGAGACTGGTAGGGGATAGAGCAATCCGTATTGGTAGGGACAGAGCAATCACTAACATTCAGCTGTCTTCAGCCAGAACAGAATCTGGAGTTGTGCGGAAGCAGTAATAACCCAGCTATACAGCATACTGTCTCATGAAGGTAAGTGCCAAACAGACCATTCGGAAACTCGAAAAAAGAAAAATTCTATTTGTTGGATAGACCAGGAGATGCTTCATGGAAAAGAGAATCTCCTATCATCAGGGAAGAGGGGCAAAGGGGTCAAGAGAGATAGAGAAAAGAGGGGCAAAGGGGTCAAGAGAGATAGAGAAAAGAGAAATGTGGCAAATTTAGATTTAGTTCAAGAGTTTCTCAGCATTGGTCCAAATAAGCAATGTAGTTTAAGAAAGACTAGCTTATCAAAGTTTACCTAAAACTGTCTATAAAATATCAAGTTTTGTCTTACAGGTACCATATAAGCTTGCTGTCTGTTCGTTATCCACGCAGCTGTTAATGCACAAAGACTATCCCAACAATCTTTTCTTTGTCTCTGAACAACTGCTTAAGTAGCAGACTGCAGGGAGTTCTTGAGCCCACAGGCTGTGTCTTAAAAAGCACATTTTGGGGAAAATGGCTCAGTGACACAGTGCTGACAGAGAAATTCACTTTTCACTCCAAAACTGTATCATATAAACCAGAATGCATGAATAATAAGTGAAGGGAGGCCAATCTCCCAGTTTAATGTATACAACTGTATTTTTAAAATGAGTATTTTAAGTCCTTTTTTCTAGGACCAACTTTTTGTTTTTGTTTTTTAATAAATCCAGCCATAGAACTTTCAGTTATAAAGCTCTACTGAATAACAACAGGATTTTTCAGAACAGCGGAAAAACATTTTTTTCTAGTTAAAAAAAAAAATTGTGAACACGTCTCAAACAAGTTTCCGTAATATGTTGTAACAGCTCAAAGATGCACGTTACTTTGTTACTCTGGTTAACCCATTAAGGACAAGATCATTACAGGTTCTCAATCAAACCTCTGGAGTTGCGATTCCTCTTGAGATATTTTTACTCATTGCAGAAGATAGTCCTCTGCAGGAGATGAAAGTGGGGAGCAGGGCGGAGAACAGGGAATCCCAAGCAGAGTTCATTGAGGCCTCCTTTGTTAGAGGGCCTGGCTACACAGGGATAAATATGACTGGAAGGGCCTGGTCTATACTAGATTAAAGGCTCACTTCTAGGGCTATCACTGCCCAGACTACTTCTGACTGTTTCAGCTGCTGCATTAACTTTATTCCAGTTCTGGATACAAATAAACTTCTGAGATATTCTGCAGACGTTAATTTTAAAACCATACCCCACAGAATATAAGGTGATCTGTGGAAGCGGATCAAAAGATCCGTATGCTAATATTTGCCCAGAAACTGTCAGCGTAAAATGAGTCATGTGTTCTTCCTGGACTATGTCTTGTTTAATTATAAATGAAGATGAGAAAATTTGTTCTCTAGCTCAACCCTGACTATATGTACCCCTAGTTTTGTCACTTATTAGCACATTACCCTAGGCAAGTTACCTAATCTCTCTGTAGCTCAGTTTCTTCATCTGTAAAGTGAAATGTATAATAGTATCCACACAACAGGATTATTGTTAGCATTAAATGAATGCAGCTGGCACACTGTAAGCCCTTAATAAGTTTTAGCAATTATCATAATTCTCAACACAATCCTGGTTGCCTCCAAAAACAAGCATTATAGTAACTGTTGACACTGTCAAGAAATGTTCGGTTCTAAAGTAACATTCCTGACTCTGTTATGTATATTCTGGGATAGTTTTATTAATAGTTGCTAGGTATTTTCTCTCTAAAACCTGGGTGGAGCAGTACTCATCAGCTTCTCTGTATACTGTGCCCAAAGTTTCTACTTCCCTTCAAAAGAAAAATGTTACCAAATTGCTAACTCTGGGATTTTATCAAATTTGTGAGCGTACCTTTCCAAAGTAATGAGAGAATTTCTGCTGATCTTCAATTACATGGGCAAACCCTCCGTGAAGGCCAAAATCCACAGAGAAATAAGGTAACCCTCTGGGTACCTAAATAAACAGACAAATCACAAATGGAATACAGTATGAAATCAGGAAGTTATGTTTAATCCCTCCCCTCTTCTCTGGAGGGACAGTAATTTCAGGCATCCCTCAAGACAAATGTATAAAATTAATTTCCAATTCTAGAAATATTTAAACAATGACCTACATTTCTGAGTAAAATATTTCATTTTGGTAGCCTTTCAGCCAGATAGTTCACCATTATCTACCAATTATAATCAAAACCAACTATTTTTCTGTCCTTGGGGAAAACCAGGAGGAAAAATGATGCTTTTTAAAAACACAAATGCAGAATAATTTTCCCTTAGGCTACACAAATAGAGAATAAGCATATGCCTTCTTAAATTCTACTCATGATGCAGAACAGCAAGAGAGACCTGGCCACATACAAAGAGCTCTCCTTGAGCCTTTACAGCTGTGCATTTATCAAAGATAAATTATACAAAAATAATCATAATTTTGTTATGAGCTGGTAAAGGAGATGTAGCAATACTTAGTTTATCAGGCTTATTTCAAAATATCTCCAGGATTAAATCCCTATTGTCTTTTTCTCTTCCTTCTTTACTCCTCCCCTTTTTCCCTCACTCTCTCTCTCTACACACACACACACACACACACACACACACACACACACACACACTTTATCTCATGACTAGAAAAAGCCAAAATTTCTTGCTTTATCAATTAAGTAGATTTTGGGTCCTTGCCAGTTTTGCTTCAAAGCCCAAACTTTGCCACTATAAATTATCCAAGTGCATCAATTTAAGGTAACATTTCTCCTCTCGAAACCACTCACACAGTTAAACCACTCACACAGTTAAACCACTCACACAGTTAAACCACTCACACAGTTAAACCACTCACACAGTTAAACCACTCACACAGTTAAACCAACCACTCACACAGTTAAACCAACCACTCACACAGTTAAACCAACCACTCACACAGTTAAACCACTCACACAGTTAAACCACTCACACAGTTAAACCACTCACACAGTTAAACCACTCATACAGTTAAACATACTTACTTTACTTATTTGGCACTGAACCACAGGATCCTACTTAACTATACAAATTGTGCATTGTGTCCTTAAAAAGGCACACTGTGGAAGGTCACAGTATGGTATAGTGGAAAGCGGTCACCTTGAAATATTATAAGGCAACTAAAATTAAGGCTTATAAAAAGTACCTGTTATTTAAAAAGTAAAAGTAAAAATCTGTTTACAAAACAGTGTATAACATTAAATACAGACAAATGGGTTACGATTTGTGGCTTTAATTTTTCTTTCTATATTTCTGCATTTTTAAATATAATAATTATGTATGACCTTGACTATTAGGAAAAAATAAAGTAAAAGAGACAGACAAGGCTCCAGCTGCAACTCTGATTCTCATAAGTGTATTTCAGACAAGTTAATTAACATCTCTGAGTTGCATGAGAAACATGAATGCCCTAGTCCCCAATTTGCCATGAATATGCTGCCTTACATGACAAAAGGGACTTTGCAGATGTGATTAAGCATCTTGAAATGAGGGGATTATCCTGGCTAATCCAGATAGGCCCAATGTAATCATAAAGACACTATTAAGAGAGAGATAGGAGGGTCAGAGTGAGAGAAAGATGGAAGATACTACACTCTTGGCTTTGAAGATGAACAAAGGGGCCATAAGCCATGGAATGCAGGTGGCTTCTAACAGCTAGAAAGGGCAAAGGACCAGATTCTTTCTAGAGCTGCCGGAAGGAATGCAGGCCTGCTGACACCTTGATTTTAGCCCTAAGAAACCCAATTTATACTTGTGATCATCAGATTTTTAAGATAAATCTGTGGTGTTTTAGGCCAAGATGTTTGAGGTAATTTCATAGAGCAGCAATAGGAAACCGCTATACATGCCAAGGCTCAACAAACTATGGCATATTTGCCAAGATGGCACAATGAACACATCGCTACTTTCCACAAAATGCAACTGCTGTCACAGCTTCCCTATTCTCTCCCTGCAGGAAGCAAAGGGTACAAATTGCTGCTTGCTAGAAGAGTTGCTAGTCAGCAGGCGCTGCAAAGTCAAAGCGTAGGTACATTTACCACTTTCTTTTCCCTGCACTGGCCAGTCAGAGAAAATGCATTTGAAACTCTCATACCACTCTTTAAAGGCACCGACAGAATTAAAGCAAACTGTTAATTTATGGTAGGAAAATAGAAGAAGTATTTGGGTTGTTCACTTCTTGAGTTTGAAGGCCTCTGGTAAACCCACATTTTCGTGAGAAGTGCTTTCCTTAATTTATAATATCAGTCTCTAAATGTTGGATGTCTCTTCGATTTCCACAGTTACCACAAAATTAAACTTAAAATACAATTTTTTAAAGTTCAGAAAGAATTCTCATGCAATATCACTAAAAGAGCCTTGTGAAAGACAGCTTTTCTTGACAGTTACTTATTATCATGTAATTCCTCTGCAACGAACACTCAGATCTGTTTTTCCTGTTTATTTCCATGAACTTCACATTACACTGAAAAGAAAGCAAATGGGCCAGAGAAAATGAACCAAATGGGTGGAAAAAGAGAAGTTTACCTTCATACAGCATAGAAAGATATAAATTTTAAAAAGTCAGAATGTATTACATATACGTGAATCTCTATTATAAGCCAAGAATTTACATATTGAAAAAAAAAAAAACACCCCACCCTCAATGATGCAGGCAAAATACTGTATGAAATTATTAAGGACATCAAGCTTTTAAAAAGAAGTATAATAAGGTTCTTTCAGAAATCATAATAATGTTAAAGTAACTCAGTATCATTCACTTCATGTTTAAAAATACTTTTATTAATTTTTGAAAACATAATGGAACATTTATTAACTAAAACTTCTTTGGAATTATTCTTACACTTATGTACTCTTCCCATTCTTAATTCCATCCACATAATTATAAAATCTTAAATCTAAAAGGGACTGGGCGCAGTGGCTCATACCTGTAATCCCAGCACTTGGGGAGGCCAACATAGGCCAATCACAAGGTCAAGATTTCAAGACCAGTCTGACCAACATGGTGAAAGCCTATTTCTACTAAAAATACAAAACTCAGCTGGGCGTGGTGGTGCACACCTGTAATCCCAGCTACTCAGAAGACTGAGGCAGGAGAATCACTTGAATCCGGGGGATGGAGGCTGCAGTGAGCCAAGATCACACCACTGTACCACAGCCTGTGCGACAAAGCAAGACTGTCTCAAAAAAAAGGGATCTCAAGAGGTCACCTGGCTCGTCCTTCATCGACCGTGACCCACAGCTAGTCTCAGATACGATACCATGAGATGCCTTAATAAAAGCAATTGTCGCTGTCTTTGAAATGCTTTAAAGTTGAGTATACAATTGCCATTTTACAGGATCTGTATTTCTTATTTTTCATAATGTTAAGTTAAAATATTAAGACCTCCTGGCTACTTAATTCAGGCACTCGAGCTTTTACAAAAGAAACAAATAATAAGGTACTAGACGGTTCGCCAGTAAGAAAATGTATATACATTATAGAAAATGGGCACTAATACATCAAAATGTTTTTCCTTTGAAACATTTTCATTAAAATTGTGTTCTGAAAGAATACTTAACAGCATGAGAAATTATAACATGAGAAGTAAAACACCTAGCACAAAAGATGTATGTATATTAAATGCCTTTTTCTATAAGCACATAAAGGAGAGAAGTAAACAGTACATTGAGTGGGTTTGTTTGGTTTTGTTCTATTTTGTTTTTTAACGTGTTGTCTGGCCCAATTCATCAGCAGAGAAGAGAAGATGATTGTAGATAGTGTTTTACCTCTGAAATAGCACTATGTATCTTGAATAGTGTAATAAGACGGAGCCTTTTGATTGGAACCTAGTAAGTGTGACAAGGAATCTTACTAGTTACGTGACAGTTAACAGGAGTCTGGCTTCCCGAAAGAAGGAATAAGTATTCTAGCGACATCTAACAGAACAGGGACTGGCAAACCTTTTCTGAAAACGACCACACAATAAAATACTTTAGGCTTTGCAGGTCATACGTTCTTGGTGGGGACAATTTAAATGTGTCCTTGTACCATGAAAGCAGAACATATGCTTATGAGCACACCTAAGCAAATGAGCGTGGCTGTGTTCCAATAAAAGTGCATTTACACAAACAGGCAGAAGACCGGGTTTAGCATGCAGGGCTTGAGTTGCCAACCCCAGCACTAGATTCCATCAAGTCTGGAATCTTTCTGTTTTTTCCCACTATGTACGAAAAGCATCCTGAAGAGTGCCTGCTAAATAACAGGCACACGATAAATTTCTGTAGCATCAACTTCTTTTTCTTTTTCTTTTTTGAGACGGAGTTTCGCTCTTGTTACCCAGGCTGGAGTGCAATGGCGCGATCTCGGCTCACCCCAACCTCCGCCTCCTGGGTTCAGGCAATTCTCCTGTCTCAGCCTCCTGAGCAGCTGGGATTACAGGCACGTGCCACCATGCCCAGCTAATTTTTTTTGTATTTTTAGTAGAGACGGGGTTTCACCATGTTGACCAAGATGGTCTCCATCTGTTGGCCTCGTGATCCATCCACCTCGGCCTCCCAAAGTGCTAGGATTACAGGCGTGAGCCACCGCACCCGGCCCAACTTCTTTTTCAGTAGAAAAACAAAAAGGAACCACATTCTGTTAAAATCTCTATTCCATTTAATTTGTATTTCTAGAAAAGAAAAAGGAATCATTACCAGACACACTCAACTTACATGTAACCTGTACATAAAAGTTGATCCGCACATAAAGATTAAACTACGAAGTGTGATTAAGCAAGTCTCAAGAAAACCCACAATCTAACTCAGCTGCTATTTTACAGTTTTACAGGAACATAATAGTGAACCTCTGTACAAGGAAGAGAAAATGAGTTCCCAATTCAAAATAGAGCCTCTAGGAACATTTTTCTCTCAGTATAATTACAGAACAATATATTCCAAGAAGGCCCTTCTCACTACTTGTTCCACAGGGGCTGAGAAGCTTACCATAGGAGTGCTTACGGCAGACTAACGGCTGTCATAGCCAATTATAAGGACTACAGTGGCAGAAGACCAAAGGTCAGGGAGAAACATTCACGTGAACAAATAGAAACGCTCTACAAAGAAATTAGCATTTTCTAGACCAGGTAGGATAAAAATAACTTCTTCATTTGTGGAACTGGTTATTTTGCCTTCAACCAGTGATCTCTTTCTCAACTAAGATGTAGAAATGAATAAAGATGCTGAGCACTGGGATAATTTCTTTTACCAGAAAAAAAAAAAATTGATACTTACAGACTTTCTGATATCTTTTAAAGAGAGATCTATCAACTTCTTGTTCATGGACCATTCTTCATCAGATTCCATTATGGCTTTCTAAAATACAGCCATTTATTAAGTGAAAAGAGAACATGTAAGTCAATAAAAAGCAGACAGCTTATAACAAGTAATGCAGTGAATTAATTATGGGGTATATTAGACATAGGAGGCCATTATTCTGAACTGATTAAGGCTTTAATTTTAGTTATTTAAAATATGAATGTCTTACATTTTTAAAATCCTATCGTTAGCCAAACATGATATTATTTTACTCATTCTTAACTGTTGTACTAACTTGAGCTCAACTTTACATGACAATCCTTAATAAGACCAACCAATGTAATATGAAACATAATTTGTGTTCATAAAGTTCAATTTAATATGGAACATCATTTGTGAACCTTAGTAATCTCTATGCAGTAATCTTGCTGCAGTCAGAGAGATTACTAAATAAGTTCATTTAGTTGTACTGTTCTTCCAAAAAGTAACAGAGTAAGTTACATGTTTTCTGGAACCAAAGACGTGCACGATTTCTGCCCATATAATGACAAAGTAAAAATACAGGAAAAAAATGTGCTCTAGAACACAAAGCCTATGTTTTTAAAATGCAGAAAGCATAAGTCTATTTCAAGCGGATAGCAACTTAACTTTGATTGTATGCAACTCAACGATTTTATTTACCCCACACACGTTTTATGTTTTTGATGTCAGAATTTATACAACTATAATTTGTCAATTTGTAATTTAAAAAATAAGAATTTTTTTAAATGCAGGGAGAAAATACATAGAAATAGAATAATACTTTTTACGCTAAGCAATGTAACTACTATTTATGCTAAAGAAATATGTAAAAGCCAGAGTGATGAATATAAAGTAGCTTCATGTTTTTACAGTACTGTTACTAATGAAGCAGATTTTAAAGGTAAAATAACACTCTAATAAGTTCACTTTAAATAGAAAAGATACAGTGCTATTCCCTACTTAAAAGGTATAACTTGCGTGGCTTGACACTGTAATATAGCACATTCAATACAAAAGCAGCTTCAATGATCACATAAAAGGTTTAGTGTACAGCTACTCAGGAGGCTGAGGGAGGAGAATTGCCTGAACCCAGGAGGCGGAGGTTGCGGTGAGCCGAGATTGCACCATTGCACTCCAGCCTGCGTAGCAAGAGCGAAACTCCGGCTCAAAAAAAAAAAAGGTTTAGTGTAGTAAAGTGATACACCATTCTAAGAGATGACATTTTTGTTAACCCTTATGAGCAAAAGTGGCTGCTCTATGTTAGGTCATATTCCTCAAATGACTCTAGTCACAATCATCTAGGACTGTATTGAGGAAGTACAAAATTAAGCACACTGAAAAAAGGTATAATAATCTCTTTTCAACTAAGTTTGGTTAACACAGGACTGGCATGGGTCTTTGGGATTATCTGGCTTATTCTGTTATACCTTAATAGCATAATTCTTCATATCAAGTAATCAAATTGTCGTTAAAAATTGCCAGAGAGAAAGTAGAATTTTACCAATTCATAAATCTTAACAGATTTCACAATTCTTTACTGGAACTTACAGTTCATATTAATACATTTTGTCATCCCATGCTGCCTAAACGTTTCACATGCAATCTTCTTATAACAGATCACAAAACATTGTCTTCCTTTATCTCTGGACTTGTTACTGTCGCATATATGGTTCTACATTTACACATCTGTATTAGTCTATAAATTACAACGTATTTAGGTCAGGATCAAACACATGCTATTTTATAAAAGCTCTTTGAATACTGTAAATTATACTTAGTTGGTTATGAACTCTAGTCATTATATGTCCAAAATCACATATCAAGGTTAGAATTTGTTCTTTTTACAAGAAGCATGAAATATTAAATACCAAAACAGCAATACCTTGCCTCAGCAATTGTAACGTGTACTATTTGTTATCTTTGGCTCTAGTGTATTTCAGTAGTCAGTTTTCTAGAGTTCTGACTATAATTTTGATTTGAAAGTATTTCAAAGTAAAATAACGACTTCATCTGAGAAATAGGAAATTAAAATAGAAATTATAAGTTACCATTTAATAGTATATCTGTACTCCTAAATAAGCATGCTTTTAAAAAGGTCAAAATCAAAAATCTTCTGACAGCAATTTATAGAGCAGAATATTTTGTGCTTGATTGATTTATTTATTTTTTGAGGCAGGGTCTCACTCTGTCGCCCAGTCCAGAGTGCAGTGGTGCAACTGCAGTACACTGCAACCTCCACCTCCCGGGTTCAAGTGATTCTCCTGCCTCAGCCTCCCAAGTAGCTGGGATTACAGGTGCCCGCCATCATACACAGTTAATTTTTGTATTTTTAGTGGAGTTGGGGTTTTATCACGTTGGTCAAGCTGGTCTTGAACTCCTGACCTCAGGTGATCCGCTCATCTTGGCCTCCCAAGTGAGCCACTGTGCCTGGCCTATTTCATTTCTTTGTATAAATTTTTATCTAAGTAGGTTGCCGGCTGAGCGGAGCGGAGGCACCGCCGGGCGGAGGGCCCACGCGGGCTCAGCTTTCCGGGTCGACAGTGGTGACTGTAGCCCAGCCTGCCGGGGAGCCGTTGGTTTTCCGAGTCGCTGTCTTCCAGGCTCCGTCAGTGGTCGGCATGGCACATGGGAAAAGAGCATGACTTTGACTTTGTAGGTAGAAATCGACGAGAACTTGCCCACCAGAAAAATATGAAGAAACCCCAGGAAATTAGCAAGGGAAAAAGAAAAGAGGATAGCTTGACTACCTCTCAGAGAAAGCAGAGGGACTCTGAGATCATGCAACAAAAGCAGAAGGCAGCTAAGGAGAAGTCTATGCAGACCGGAGAAAAATGATGACTGGCTATCTGGAAAGCCTGGGTGCTACTGCCGACTGGGTGCATCATAAGCTCTAAGGTCAAGACTTTGTAGAGTAGACCGTCATTAAATATGTTTTATCTTATCCTTTAAAAACTATTTTGAACTTCACCTTTCAGTTTGACTTAGTGCAGTGTTTTAGAAGCAGTCCTCAAAGAATACAACACTACATGCATGTGGCGTATTGGTGAACATGATTTTTATTAGTTAACATTTATATATAATTTATTAGGTAATATGGTCAAATAATAGGATCTCTCATATAATAACGATTCTTTGTCATCAAAAAAAAATTTTTATCTGAGTATATAGGAGAAAAATACATTATTAATAAAGACAATATCTGTAAAGTAGCACTGTGGCGAGAAATAAGTATATATGCAAATACTACTTATAAATACCTTAAAATAGATGGGAGCCATATCACCCACTTCCTTGGGGACAGGAATACATTCATAAACCATGTGATACTGTTTCTTCATGCTCATATTAGTTTCTAAAAAGATGCAGTCCAATCCTTTATCTTCAAACATCTTTACCAGTGATTTTCTGAACATCTAAAACAAAAGAACTAGGTAAAAAAAAACACTTATAGGAGATTCCAAATAAAGCATTTTCAGGAGAATTGAAATATGAAAACCTTAATTTAAAAGTACAACAAATCCCTTTAAGGTGAAAAATAAACATTAATACTGAACTCTGTAATATTACAGTTGCTTCACTTTCTAAATCTATATAATTTCACATATTTAAGCAAAATTTTTTAAAAAACTGAAGCCCATTATATATATATTATAGTTTCAATAAAATGAGAGAAAGAAGAGATAAAAATCAAATTTCAGTGGTAAAATACGCAGAACTGACAGAACAATTACAGGGAAACATCCATAAGCCAAAAGAGGTACTCTGCACAGGTGGGCATCCTTAAACTCAGAAATACGAAGAGAATCCACTTCCGACTGTCTTCCTGTGCTTACAGCGTCTGCTTTTCTTGGTTCCCTGGCTACTGACCCATCACTAACAACTTTGTATATTCAGGTAGTCCTCTATTTTCACAAATAATGCAATCCTATAAAGTATATGAAATCCAAATATAACAAAGTTGAAAAGTAATAGGGTTTTCTCTCCCCAAGGAACTAAGCATTATTATACAACTATATACAAGGATACACACACATATAATCAGCGCGTGCGTGTGTGTGTATGTATTTCACACTCCTAGGCTTAAGGGGCAGCTGTTTGTAGAGGGTGGCTGAATGGAGCTGAGTGGTCCAGGATGACCACATACATTCACATGACACCCCTTGGAGTACAGGATGGAGCTAGGGATTGAAAATAAGGGGCCAGGCGCGGTGGCTCACGCCTATCATCCCAGCACTTTGGAAGGCCGAGGTGGGTGGATCACAAGGTCAAGAGATTGAGACCATCCTGGTCAACATGGTGAAATGCTGTTTCTACTAAAAATACAAAAATTAGCTGGGCATGGTGGCGTGCGTCTGTAGTCCCAGCTACTCGGGAGGCTGAGGCAGAAGAATTGCTTGAACCCAGAGGTGGAGGTTGCGGTGAGCCGAGATCGCGCCATTGCGCTCCAGCCTGGGTAACAAGAGTGAAACTTCGTCTCAAAAAAAAAAAGGAAAAGAAGGAGAGCAGGCTGAAGGCTGGGTGCCAGAGCCCAGCTCTGCGCATACCACCATGTCTTACTGTGAACCTCTCAAAGTGTCTAAGAATTCTGATAGGCGCGGTGGCTAATGCCAGTAATCCTTGCACTTTGGGAGGCCAAGGCAGATTGGTCACCTGAGGTCAGGAGTTTAAGAACAAGGTGTCTAAGAATTCTAAATTAAAGCTGGCCTTGTAAGGTGTTGTGAAAGTATATTTAAGTAGGAAGATAAAATGTATTTTATTTAGATTTATCAGCTTGATTTATAACTTTTTAATATTTTGTTTAAACATTTTTGTTTTGAGGTAATTACGGATCACGTATATTTATAAGAAATAATACAGAAAGATCTGAGTACCCTTTACTCACTTTCTCCCGAAGGTAACATCTTATAAAACTATGCTATAATATCACAACCAGGATACTGACATTGACATGGTCAAGATTAAGAGCAATTCCAACACCATCCAGAAAGATCTCTACTGTTACCAGTTTACTACTACTCCTTTTATTTTTAGAGATGTGGTTATGCTATGCTGCCCAGGCTATCTACAGGTGCGATCACAGCATGCTACAACCTCATACGCAGGCCCAAACAATCCTCCCCCATTAGCCACCTGAGTAGCTGGGACTAAAGGGGCACACCACCATGGTCAGCTCCTGTTACTCTTATAGTCACAGTCATTCCACACCCTACCCCGTCCCATTCCCCCTTCTTCTGCCTTCACCTTTAATGTGTTCCTGATTTAATTTTGACATTTCAACAACGTTACCTAAATAGAACCACGTAATCTTTTGAGGGAGGCTTTGTTTTTTCTTCAACTTTTACTTTAAGTTCAAGGGTACATGTGCAGGATGTGTATGTTTGTTACAAAGTGTGCCATGGTGGTTTGCTGCACAGATCCTCCCATTACCTAGGTATTAAGCCTAGCATCCATCAGTTATTCTTCCTGATGCTCTCCCTCCTCCCACCCACGACCCACCGACAGGCTCCAGTGTGTCTTGTTCCCCAATGCCATGTATCCAGGTGTTCTCAACATTTAGCTCCCATTTATAAGTGAGAACACGTGGTATTTGGTTTTCTCTTCTGGAATTAACTTGCTGAGGATAATGGCTTCCAGCTCCATCCATGTCCCTGCAAAGGACATGATCTCATTCCTTTTTATGGCTGCATAGTATTCCATGGTGCACACGCACCACATTTTCTTTATCCAATCTATCATTTATGGGCATTTAGGTTGTTCAGTTCTCAGTGTAAACAAGTGTGCTTTTCAGGGTCTATTTAGTACCACATTTCCACGTATTTGTGCTTTCTGTTGTTGACTTTCCTGTTCAAATTGGACCCTAAGCACATTACTGAAGTGCCATCTGGTGTTCATTAGCACAGACTGTGATGTGATGTGATGTGATGTGTCTTATGGAGAGAATAAGCTTTAGATAAGCTTCCTTCAAGCAGTCTTGAATCTTTGATTCTGAGAGTTTTTATCATAAATGCGTATGAATTTCATCAAATGTTTTTTCCTTATTGATTGATATGATCATGGTGAATTATACTGGTTTATTCTCAAAATTGCACCACTCTTACATACTTGGTATAAGCCCCACTTGGACATAGTGCGTGATTGTTTTTATTATAGGGTTTACTGCCAAACTCTATTTGTTAACATTTTGTTAATAATTTTTACAGCTCTATTCACAAGGGATATTGAGCCGTATGTGATTTAACTGCCTTGCAGTATGAGGATAACAGTAACTTATGGTATCGGCATAATACCAACTCCCAATACAAATGAACTGGAAAGTGTTCCTTCCTCAAGAGATGATATAAAATTGGTGTCAATTCTTTAAAAGTTTTATCAAATTCTCCAGTGAAACCATCTGGGTTTGGAGATTTAATTTTTTAGAAGTTTTCCATTTTGAACTTTACTTCTTTATCAGTTAAAAGATTGTTCAAATTGTCTCTTTCATACTGAGTGTGTTGTAATTCAAGGAACTGGTCTGTTGTCAAACTTCTTTGGAGTTGTTCATATCATTCCCTTGTTACTTTTGATGACTGCAAAATCTGTGATACTGTTGCCTTTCTGATACTGCTAACTTGTTTTTTCTCTTTTTTTTTCTTTGTTGGTCTTGCTGGAAGTTTGTTAATTTACCTTTTTTAAAACACCAGCTATTGTTTCACCAATTTTCTATTCTCAATGTCACTGATTTCTGCTCTTAGCTTTATATTTCTGTTATTCTGCTTGCTTTGGATTTACTCTGCTCTTCTTTTTCTAGGTTCTTGAGGTGAAGGTTTTTCCTCTTTTCTATCTTAAGTATTTAGTGCTATAAATTTCTCCCTCGGTACTCCCTTAGCTGTGCTTCATAAATCTTAACATTTTTAACTTTATTGTAATTCAATTTGATTATTATTTTTTAACTTTCCCCTGAAACTTCTTTTTGAGTTTGACTGAAGTGTATTATTTAATTTCCAAGTATGTGAAAATTTTTCTATTATCTTTCTGTTATTAATTTCTAGTTTGATTCCACTGTGGTCAGAGAATGCACTCTGTATGATCTCAATTGTTTTAAATTTCTTGAGGTTAGTTCTGTGGCAAGATATAATTTATTTTGATACAGGCTCAGAGAAAAATAAATTTTCTAATATTGTTGAGTGATGTTTTATACAAATATTGATTAGATCTTTCTGACTGATGGTTAAAGTAGGCTGACTAATGGCCCCCAAAGAAATCCGGGTCCTGTTCTCAAGAACCTGGCAAAAGAGACTTTTCAAATATAATTAAGAATCTTGAGATAGGAAGATTATCCTGAATTACCTGGGTATATCTTAAATGTAATTAAAAGCTGCCTTATAAGAGGGAGGCAGAGGAAGTGTTGACTGAAGAAGAGAAGGCAATATGATGATAGAAGCAGAGACTGAAATGATGCAGCCCCAAGCCAAGAAATGCTGGCAGCCCCAGAAACTGGAGAGGTAAGGAATAGATTCTCTCCCAGGGTCTCCAGAAGCAACCAGTCCAGCCGATACCTTGATTTTAGCCCCATACCATAAGACTCATTTGGAATCTGACCTCCAGGCAGTAAGAAAACACACTCCCACAATTTTACAGCACAAATTCTGTGATAATTTGTTACAGAAACCATAGGAAACTAGTGCAATGGGGTTTTTAAGTTCTTTTATATCCTTGATGATTTTCAGTCTGGTTGTTCTATCAACTGTTGAAAAGGGTGGGGCACTGACGTCTCTAACAATAATTATGAATTTGTCATCTTCTCCTTTCAGCTCTGTCAGTTTTTGTTTTACACATTCTGTGCCTCAGTGTTGGTGCACACACATTTAGGACTGCTATGTCGTCTTGGTGGATTGGCCCTTCCATCATTACGCAATGTCCCTCTCTTCTTTGGCAATTTCCTCTGCTGTAAAGTCAACTTTATCTGGCATAAATATAGCCACTCCTGCTTTCTTTTGGTTAATGGCTGCATAACAGATATTTTTCCATCCTTTTATATTATTCTACCTGTGATATTATTACATCTGAAGTGAGTTCTTGGAGACAGCATATAGTTGAGTTATAAAATCCCATCTACCAAACTATCTTTTAACTGATATGTTTATACTGCTTATTGATACAGTAGAGATATTCTATTTTTATTTTTTTGTTTTCTGTTGGTTTTCGCTATGGTTTTTCTGGTTCCTTTCCCCTGCCTTCCTGTGGTTACTTGAACATTTTTAGAATTCCATTTTCATTTATCAGTAGTGTTTCCCAGCCTGTCAATTTGTATAGTTTTTAAAGCGGTTCTAAGTGTTGCTCTAAAGGCATTACACATACATACATATATATTTAATCACTGTCTACTAAGGCCATTTTACCAATGCAAATAAAATACAGAAACCTTATTCCCTTT